CAGACCTCAACAAACAAATATACCACATTAATACAATATTTAACCTGTAATATAATATGTAATACTAATTCTGTAATTTAATACACTTAACGATAGTCACATACACACATATATATATCATATAAATAGCATAATTACTTTCACTCTATGTACTGAAGATGGCATAAGCATGCCGAAACATGTTTACGATAAAAAAACTCGTCGTTCATTTAAAATGTCTGATATCAATCGTGCTTTTAAGAAATTATGGAAATGACAGTTCCCATCCTACGCAAGCAAGCTGTGTATTACCAACGCTGTATACGTCGCAAACAAAAGGCAGAACTAGATCTAGGTTTTCTCCTGAAGTGCAAGAAATTAAATATTTAATCCTAATCAACTTCTCATCTTAGAAGCACTTTTGATAAAACGCGATGTGCCACAACTTAATAGTGGTCTTAAAGCTTGTAAAAAACTATCTCTATTTTAATGTAACTATATTGTTTAGTCTTATAGTTCTCTAATTACATAACTGCCATTTCCGCTTGTAAATATATAAACGTTTCGCAGCCTGCATTGTAAACCATAAGTCTGATGATGTCTTTGGAATAAAGACGAAATATTACACATTATTTTGTTTCAAACTCTTGTAATATCTTGAATATCAAGAAAACGAGATGTCCCTCTTCGGAATTTTTTTATTTTGTATTAGTTAAAATTGTGAAAAATAACTTTCTTCCATTCAACAAATTCGCAACGTAAATTTAAATTTGAAACTTGAGCGACTAACTGATGCTTTTTTTTAATTTCAATAGTACGATCACATACAAAAATAATTTTTTATGCAGAACCCATCCATCAGTTTTTGTTATATTTTGACAAAACTCGCCAAGATAGTCTCAACTTTTTAGGCTGGCGGTTAAATGAATTGATTATTGAGAAAACTGACGAACAAAGTTCTCCTGAGAGCATTTTTTATATTCCAGAATTTTTTTGTTTGATATCGAACTGTTAAATGAAACCGATACATCTGTGTTATGTCAACAAAAACTACCCAATGCAACTGAGCAAATTAGGAGTCAGAAAGGAGGTGGTGGTTGAAAAACGCGTTAATAGCATGGTCTCATAACAATACTATAGTCCATATTTTACATTAAAACCGTATAAAATAAAAGAGGCTTTTTCAAATTTTGAGAGTTCTCTCCGCCTCCAAAATAATCTGTCTTCCCCCAAAATGCGCAACAACACATGCTTATAAAATCCATTGCAATATATTTGAAAAGTTTTGTTCATTGTATTTTTTTCAACATTTCCATCAATATCGGTGCAAAAAGCAACATTGAGGGTAGCATAGCTAGCTCGACATTTTACTCCCACTATGCAATTATTTTTGTTTACTGATCGTGAGAAAAATACATTTCTAAAGAAATGACTAATAAAGTAAATGGTTTGAACCCGGGAGTATCGTTATATGTTTGTAAATGATGATCGTCCAGGTTAATAAAGTCCTGAGAAGGACTGTTTTTGTTGTTGTTGACTGACGTTTCGACAACCTTAGCGGTAGTCATTTTCAGAATCAAATGAGGAGTAAACGTCAGGTTAGCCGTATTTGTTATCTGGTTCTTACGTCATTGTATTGTGTGTACAGGAAATGTGTAATGTCATTGTGGATTAGTGTGAAGTGAAATATTTTATTTTTAGTTGTGATGTGTGATTTATGTGTGATTTATGTGTGACGTTTTTTTCATTTGGACGACAGAGCGAACAACTTGCAAACGACTACATACGTTTTGCAAGCAACGTCAGACGCATACGCCAACAACTCTGGTTCAACCACCGCTGCAAGGATTTTGGTCTCGTTCCGGCAGGACTTAGAATTAAGTCCCCGTTGAACACACAAGAGGCTATTCAGATAGTCAAATCCACCAGCAGACGACTGATACGAGCACGGATTAACGACTGTCACAGACGAATCAACTATTACATCAAACAACAAGAACAAAGACTGAACAAACTGAAGGAACTCATACCAACGACAGTAAGTGATACTTTACTTTCTACGATACAAACTATTGCAGAGAAACGAGCAAACAAGACATAGACACAACACCAAATCAAACAACAACAAAAACTTGAACGTTTAAAACAAACTAAAACACGTACAAGACATAAACATGACGATAACTGGGTGAGGAATATTTCTTCCCGCTCATTAGACGAAACTGAAACGCGACTACTATCTTACGGACTAAAACATTCCATAACACCTAGACAAATCCCGACTGAGACGATAGTATCAAGTGTCGAGGCTGTCCTAGCGTATCAAAGAGACTTGTCAGAGACAACCAAAGACGAGATCAGAAGCAGGATAGCCTCCACTTTACAATCGTCCTCTATACGGGACAACAACTTGACAAAAGACGAACAACAAGCACTCAAACGACTAAAACACGACAACAACATCGTCATTTTACCAGCAGACAAAGGACGCGTGACTGTGGTCATGGACAGGAATGATTACTTTAACAAAATGGACACCCTTATTAACGACAGACAAACGTACGAACAACTCAAACGAGACCCAACACCATCACTAGTAGGCAAACTTAACAGCAAGATCTTCTCTATGAGAAAATCTAACATTATATCTGAACGCATTTACTATCGACTCAGATGTTCAGTACCACGACCACCCAGACTATACGGACTACCAAAACTTCACAAACCACAAATACCCATGCGACCAATTGTATCATTCTGTGGTTCGCCTACTTACGAACTTTCAAAGTACTTGACTAACATACTGCAACCACTTACAAACAAATCAAAACATAAGCTACAATCCACTGAAACTTTCATTAAAAAACTGTGCACTATACAAATACTGGACAACTATATACTAGTGTCTTTTGATGTGAAATCACTGTTCACCAGTATTCCACTTAATCTGGCACTTACTTGTACAAAAACCCTCATTACAAACACCACGGACGTACTGCCATTACCGACAGAAGACATTATGGAGTTACTGGAGGTCTGCCTCACCTCGACTTACTTCCAATACAAAGGAACACACTACAAACAATTACATGGGACAGCAATGGGCTCGCCCGTTTCTGTTGTAGTTGCTGAAATTGTAATGCAATCTATAGAGGAACGGGTGCTCATGACTTACAAACATGCACTACCTTTTTGGTTTCGCTACGTAGATGACACAATCACAGCACTACATGCAGACGAGATTGATGACTTCCATACTCACATCAACAAACAGAACAGCCACATACAATTTACCAAAGATGTCGAAGAAAACGGAACTCTTCCTTTTCTCGACTGTTTGGTAAAACATGACAATCAAAAACTACGAACAACAGTTTATCGCAAGCCAACACATACTGACCGACTACTAGACCAATCATCTTACAACCCTACATCACACAAAGCCACCACAATCAGAACATTAACAAGACGTGCACAAATTATATGTGATTCACCGGACGCTCTACAAAACGAAAACAACTATCTCAAACGTGTTTTTGACTAAAACAACTATAACTCTGACTTTATCAAACGCAACACTTACAAACCCAACGAACCCAACGAAGCGAACAACTCAGTGACAACAGCAACGATACCTTACATCAAAGGTACGTCTGAGACTATCTCGCGTATCTTACGACCATATAACATACGTGTCGCAGATAAACCAATCACAACGTTACGACAAGTACTAACAAACATAAAGGACAAAGAACAACCCAACGAACGACAAGGTGCAGTTTACAAAATAAACTGCTCCGACTGCCACGCCTCCTATATCGGGGAAACTGGCAGGAACTTAAACATAAGACTTACTGAGCACAAATGAGCTACTAAGAAACAAGACAAAACTAATCACATTGCCGAACATCGCCGAATCACAAAGCACAACATTGACTGGGACTCGGCAAAATGCATCACTTACAGTACTGACAATAGACAACGGCTTACATTAGAAAGTTGGTATACCAACTTGGAACAAACCCCCCTAAACAGATCACAGCAATTACCGGCACCTTACAAACGACTTATTCACAATACAAACAAACGATCAACTAAAAACATTACACTTCAAACTAATTCACAATGACAATACACAATTGACACCCACACATTACAACTAAAAACGTCACACATAAATCACACATCACAACTAAAAATAAAATATTTCACTTCACACTAAACCACAATGACATTACACATTTCCTGTACACACAATACAATGACGTAAGAACCAGATAACAAATACGGCTAACCTGACGTTTACTCCTCATTTGACTTTGAAGATGACTACCGCTAAGGTTGTCGAAACGTCGGTCAACAACAACAAAAACAGTCCTTCTCAGGACTTTATTAACCTGGACGATCATCATTTACAAACATGAAATGACTAATGGTAATTACTTAAAATTTACATAGCGGGAGTAAATCTTGAGGCTAGCTACGCTACTGAACATTGAACACTTTAGGTTTCTTGCCTCATTCATCGAACCTTAACTTTTGAATATAAAACTAAATATTTACGATATTTACGAAAACGTTAACTAAATGTTAGCTACATAATTTATAAGTATTATTGACAGTTAGATGGCACTGCATCTATTACAGCCTGCTAAAAGCAATTATTCCACAACATTATTGCTCAAGAGCGTTTAATATTTGACAGGTGACATTTCGTAAATATTACATTGACTTTTAAGTTTTAAATTTATGCACAGGTGTATATCGTAAAAAGCATTCCGTTGCCTTTTATAAATGATAATGATTTCCCGTTCTTTCATATGAATTTTCTAAAGTTATATTGATTTGCTTCACTTCTTCATCTGAGTGAAATTTTATAAAAAGTTAGCCTTGCTCAAGAGAATAGATCAATATTGTCCATCGTTACGATTCGAATGAGAATGTTCGATTAAGGCCAATTTCAGTTTTTTTTGTTACTTCATTCATAATTTATTTCGTTTGATTAACTTCCGTCATTATTTTTACCATTACTACCTGCTATTTTGAGCAATTATTCAAAAAGCCCAATGCTAACAGCATTTTACAAAGTAAGCCTAACGTTGGAGTTGTTCATATAAACTCAGGCCTTTACGAAATTTGAAACACTATTTACGCAGACAAGAAGATGCTTTCTTTGCTGTTATTCTTGTGGCTCACAATCTGTAAACAAAGTCAATCGCAGGATCAATGCGTTAACTCTTTACTAAAAGGTAGAGTGAGCTGTACGCTTTAAGTTAAAATTGTGAAAAAATAACTCTTTTCCATTCAACAAATTCGCAACGTAAAGTTAAATGTGAAACTTGAGCTACTAACTGATGGTTTTTTTTAATTTCAATAGTGCGATCACATACAAAAATAATTTTTTATGCAGAAACCATCCATCAGTTTTTGAACGGCCCATTCGATGCATTTTCCATTTTTCGTAATAATTACTACAATCAAATGTAAAACTAATCTCTTATTGTGAGCCAATCTAGCTTCTGCTATAATTTGAACATTCTCACTATAGTTTTATAACTTTTAGGCTGGCTATTACATGAATGCATCATTGAGAAAATCGACGTGCCAAGTGAAATCGAGTGTATTTTATCTTGCGTCAATACACCTTGCTGTAGGTCTGTCAACTACAGGATTGGCTTTAGTGACAAAAAAGCCGAAAACTATAGTTGTGAATTGTTAGATGGTATTCACGATGAAAATAGCTATTCCAATTTACAACGAAATGGAAATTATATTTATATTTTTTCTGTCTCACCAAAAAGGTATGCAAAAATTTCTATGTAAAATTATTCCTATGCCATAATTACAATCTGTAATTCAAACAGTTTTTTTAAAATAACGCGAAGAAAAATAGCCATGACTTTAGATTGACAAAGATGTACAAAGACAAAAGAAGAATAACACGCATTACATATAAATGCAATGAATGTATTCAGCATCCATACAAAGTTCATATAGCTAATATACAGACTTTATAAAATTGTATTTTAAAATTATCATCTGTTAAATATGAATGGCTATAGGAAGTCATTCTTAGCCCATTTCTCTACCTTCCTTCGGTTTTCCCACTTTACTTAATAAAAAGTTGTAAAAAACACGAAACAATATACACAAATGGCAAAAACATGTAGTTTATGAGCTTTTATAGAATACTGGTGTAATTTTGATGTCAAGTGAGGATCAAAGCTTTTATTCAGAAGGGAGGACTTTTTTACAAAATAGTTCAGAGAATTAATATATTACAATAACTTTTTTGGCAATTTATTAATTATCTAAATTTAAAAGGGGGGTGACTACTTGAACTTCTTGTGGAACGATCAATACCTGCATATACACTGAAAGGATTTATGTCCTTTGCTAAGGGAAAAAAATTCGGAGAGTAGTAAAAATTTAAAAAACTGGTTAAGCTAAGAATTTTACTTATTACTTAACTAAGATCACAGTTAACCACACCTGCATGTAGAATTTGCATTATATTATAAATCGTTAAACTTGTCAGAATTTCATATTGCAATGTTTTTGTTACTGAAAACACTGTAGTATTCAAAGTATTTTTGATAGGTAAAGTATGACACATTCCTACTTGACACGATACTTACTATTTAGTGAGCACTTAGCTTTTGTTTGAAATAAGTTTGTATAGCAAAAATTCTAAAGTGAAACATGTGCGAAAATATGTTAAACAACCATTGACTTTGACTTTCAGCATTAACCGTTGTTTGTGAATTATGGTCGCCAATAATAATTACACACGAGAAAGGACTTATTCATGCATGCGTACTGCTTTTTTGTGAGTGGTTGGGATCTAGTTATCTATAAAATGTTCCCAAATAGCGCTTTATTTTTATGTTAAGATGTTTATCAGTACATGATTTACATGCGAAGCTATCTATGATTTAATATGATATTTGAAATTTTCTAAATATTCAGTTTAATATAAACCTGATTAATAAGTATTATGCATCATAATTTTTCATCATAAATTGCCAAAGCTCGGTATCTTATATATTTTTTTGTATTTTCAGTGTTTCAACAGAACATGTGCTCAATCAAAAGGTTAGTTTCAAATATTTTTATTCGTTTTAGACTCGTTTAACAACATGAAGTATATGCCTTATGTAAAGATCGTGCTGATTTAAGAAATCAGTTGGCACTCGAGTTACACGCAAACTGACTTCAATCATCAACAAGAACGTAAATTTTATTATCTGATCATCATTGAATACAAATGAATAACTGCCAAAACATCCATCCGCCAACGTTTAAAAATTTCGATGTATCAGCATTTTTACATATATAAAATATCAATTGCATGACATAAAAATGATCAAACAAAGCATTAAGCATTCTAGAATTAAGAAATAAAAAGATGTTTGCCAATGCTTATGCAAATCGAGGAGACCTTTGGAAAAACTCGAGAGCAGATCAGTACACGCCCAAAACCGAATGTCAAGATTTGCACATTCTAGAAAGTTCTCACAAACGTCTCCGACGTTTTGCATAAGCCAGTGCAAACACAAAAAACATCTTTTTTTTTCTTTTATAAAATAACAATAATGCAAAAAAGACAAATATTTTAATTTTTCCTCTAAAATAAATTCACGATAGATTTGCAAATTCTCTTTGACTGGTAGATTGTTTAGATTGATTTTATTGGTTGAGGTCAGACGTGTTTTGCGCTGGCCAATGCAAACTCAGTTGTAGACCAATCAGCGCACGCGTTTCATTCTGTTTATTTTATAGTGTAGTATGCAACTTGCCATCAATTTACATATTTTGAGAAAAAAAATAGTTAATGAGTTGTTTAAGCAAAAAACACTTCCAAACTGGTAAAAACAATAAATAATTTTGAAATTATTTCTTGCCAACATGCAAACACTTTAAAAATACTGTAAAAAAGAGTTGTCTAATTACATTGCTCTAGTACACTCGAGAGCACACAAATGCAATTGAACCTTTGACCTTGAGACAATTGGGTTTAACTTTGAGTCTCTCATTTACTAAGCTTGCGAGCATTTTTTGGCTCCGCTTTGAAATGCAGTTGAATTTAAATTGTGTATAAAATACTCAAGAAAGGTTTTTTCTACCCTCAGTGTGCATAAATCCAAAGGCATTAGGCATGGAGAATAGAGAAATATCTGATGCGCAAATAACAGCCTCCTCTGAGTATGACACATTTCATGGTAAGTCAAACGCTCGCTTGAATTGCAACCTGAAATCTGGCTCTTGGTCGGCAAGAAAAAATGATAAACACCAATGGCTACAAGTTGATTTCAGAAACAGAGTGACGATAACAGAAATCCAAACGCAGGGTCGTGAGAGCTACCATAATCAGTATGTGAAGACATATTCTGTGTCATATTCCGACGACGGAACCATTTTCAAATCTTACAAAAATGAAAAAGGAATAAAGGTATATGTTTAAACATAGCTTTTGCAAAGTTTATAGCTAATACTTTTGTCTTGTCTGAAGGTGAAGGTAATTGAACTATTGTGTCCATCCTAAAAATGATATTTGAAAAATTTAAAACCTAAACTTAAACACACTGTGTCATATCTATTAATCCATCCATCCATCCATCCATCCATCCATCCATCCATTCATCCATCCATCCATCCATCCATCCATCCATCCATCCATCCATCCATCCATCCATCCATCCATCCATCCATCCATCCATCCATCTAATTTTGTTTCTTTTTTGTTATTGTATGCATTTGAATTTGAGGTGCTTGTTGGAAATTCTTTTATGAAGTTCTGAAATCCATTTTCAACAGTGCCTTTAATTTATACTTGTGTTGTACATATCACTTAGGATTCAAGCTAGTGCTTGGTTTTATCTGCAAAAGTAATCAATTAGTCAACTATTAAATGATTTTCTTTCAATCGTAAGCTAAGCAATTTTGATTTCTGTTTCTTTTTAATTTTGATCTCATTGTATTATAGGAGTTTGTTGGAAATTTTGACATGCACACAATTGTAGACCAGAAACTTTGCCCAGTCATCATAAGTCAGTACATTCGTATTCATCCAATGTCGTGGAACAATCACATATCAATGAGACTCGAATTTGTTGGATGCTTGCGTAATTAAAACAGATCAAATAAAGCACGTAGAATCATACTGGTATTCTTTGAAAAGGATTTAATTTGATTGGCCACTCTACTTGCTTAGTATTTTGAATTAGATAGGGATGAGTGATACAATATATTGGGAGTAGCGACAAAATAGATCGTGAGTTGCAAAAAAAAACATGTGTCGTCCCCCGTTCTATCGACTGTTAGCTTTATATTAATTGCTTATTTCACAAGGCAATTCTAGAAATGAGTAAATTTGCCACAACATATGTCAAGACGTTTGAAGGCAAAATAGACAAAAATTCAATTAAAATAAGGAAAACTGCATTTAGCGAGTCGATCGCTTTTTAATATATGTGATGTCCACAGCAAGAAATGCATAAAACAGCAAATTAGGAAAACTATGGCAGGCCTTTTCTTTGTGTATAGTAGTATGATTCTGCTAAAACGGATTAAACAATTAGTTTACTTGCTCAAGATTTCTATGACACGACAGTCTATTTGGTTTTTATAATAATGATCTACATATTCAAAAACAACACGCAATCAAAAACTCAAAAAAATACTAAAACTATGCCTATATGGGTGTGAACATTTATATTGCATATATAGTGCACAGAGCAGCAGTTTAACTATTTTAATTTGAATGCGTGACAATAAGTTACACAAATGAATATTTAGAAGTAATGCTAAAGGCAAAAGAAAAAGGAAATAACTCTATAATGATAAAAAAACGTTGATTTACTTCACGAGATTAACCAATCAGCATTTTTTGTGCATAAAATGCTAATTAACAAAAGTGTTTACAAAAAATAATACTAGCTATATGGGCGTGGAAAAATCAACGCTTTTTTGTGATTTAAGTTCCTTTGAAATCCATTGTTTTATAAAAAGGGAGGTTTGTTGACTGGAGAATTATCAGAATATAAAAAAGAATTGAATGGGATACATTACTATCATTACGAACATGTACTTGGTGTAACTTTGAGGTCGGACTTAAAATGGAATAATCATGCTGACCGTATTACATGTAAAGCTTAAAAACGATTGTATCTTTCAAGGCTCCTATAGCGTGCAGAGGTTGATCTGGACCCTTTGAAGAAAGTCTATTGCTCCTGGGTTGGATCAGTTTTGGAATATGCATGTCAAAAGCGTTAAATAGTAGCGGGGGCAGCATATACACTTTAATGTTTTACATCGAATTATGAGGGAAAGAACAGATTCAAAGTTATGATTAAGGACGCACATGCGTCAATATCTCCAAACATTTAAGTTTAATTTTAATGAAATAATGTGACAAAACAAGGAAATTATCAACACTCACTAAAACTCTTCGAAGCTCGGTGCTAGTAGGTATCCGGAAAAAAAATAAAAATATTTAAAATGTCGGATAGAATTTTTAAAAGGGCTATAGCAACTCAGCCTCCACTGCTCTTCGTCGTTTACTGTCCATTTCATGTCTCTACTTAACTACCTTGCAAATAGAATATCGGCAATAGTTTTTACAAGCATTTTAGAGGTATTATAGTAACAAGATCATAATTTCGATTACAGCTAACACAACTTCCTAACAATAAAAGCTCCGATTGTTTTTTTTCTTGCATATTTTGTACATTGGTGTGAAAAACGTCGGAGTTAATTCTAACTTGTTATTCGTCAAGAATTATACGTCTAATTTTTC